AGAGAAAAAGGGGAAAGGAAAAAAACAAGCCGCCAGGTCCAGGACTCGAACCATGGTCAGCCACGTGGGAGTCCAGTGCTCCCAACCACTATACCTCCTGCTGGCCCCTCTTTTTTTTTTTTTTTTTAAGAGAGATTTTTGCCCTAGGGTGCATGCACTCGTGAGAGAGAGAGAGACAGCAAGACAGAAAGCGAGAAGTCATTCCCCAGGGAGGATAGCCACGCCGCAATCCCTTCTCCATTCTCCTCTGTAAAAAAAAAAATCTCTCAAAAAATTTTGGATTTGGGGCATGCACACACATGTGCCCGGTGTGAGTTTGAAGCCATCAAGTCCAGAACTTGAACTGTGGTTGACTGCATGGGACTCCAGCAAATAACCATTGTGCCATCTGCTGGTTCCTCTTTTTAAATTTTTTATCTTTCTTTCTTCAATGAATGAAAGAGAGAGAGAGAGAGCACACTACCTCAACGGGGTCCCCAAACTGCAATCCTTCCCAGCCTTAGCCAGCCCTGGATCACAGACAAGCACATGCCAACATACTCAGGGAGGTCTCCAGGCTTGGACCGAGAACCCTCCCACATAGGATTATGTGGCGCTTTACCACTGCTCCACCGTCTGCCTCCAAGGGATGCAGCTTCTCTTGAGCCGTGCGTTACCGCTGCGCCGCAGAGCCAGCCCTGACCTCGAGTATGGGCCTTGACCACAGCCCCAATGGGCCAGACTCAGCCAGCTGTGAGTAAGTTCCCAAGGGGACCGGCAGCTTTTCTTTTTTGGGAGAGGTTTTGGCTATAGGGCACGTGCACTCGCCAGAAAGACAGAGACAGAGAGACAGAGAGCGAGAGAGTGAGAAATCACCCCACTGTGGGAGATGGTCATGCCATATTCCCATCTCCTCCATCTCGCTCTTCCTTCTTTTGGGATTTGGGGCACAATTGCACTTGCACCTGGTGTGTTTTTCAAGCCACAAGGTCCAGGACTTGAACTAGGTAGTCAGTCATATGGGATCCAGGTGCCTAAACCAGCATGCCATCAGTTGCCCTTCCCCCCCCCCATCTTTTTAAGATTTTGGCTACAGGATGCATGTGCTGGTCAGAAAGAGACAATGAGAGGGAAAGTGAGAAATCACCCTCCGAGGGGATGACCGCGCTGCAATCTCTTCTCCTCCTGGGGTTTTGGCACACTTGCAC